CCTACACGAGGCAGAGGGCGAGGAGGCAGGGGCCGGGGCAGGGGGAGAGGTGAGTTATATTATTTGTCACAGATGAAGTGAGAATAGAAGTGCAGCAAGAGAAACAGAAGTTCTAGAGGTTTATTCAAGAATGTAGTATTGGGACAAGGCAATGACAGAGAGCAAATAGAGCATATATGTGGTATATATGCATGTGCCTGAACATAAACAGATGCAGAAATATGCACATTTGTTAATTGTATATGAAGTAACACACATGAGTTTATCAGAAACTAAATATATACTGCTGCTGAAATGTATCATTAACAGTTACGTTTGGTTGCTGCCAGTACAGCAAGACAAGCTCTCTGGTAACCACCAGATAATGTTTCAGATCATCTGAGAAAATTAAAAGATACTGATATAGGCTTACTATCAAATGTTATGGTAACGTAGTAGACATGTTGGAATATTAGCAGCAAATTTAAACACTACATTTGGCTCACTACTAGTAGTCGAGCCTGGAGCCTTGGGCACACTTGCATATATTTTACTGGAATGCACAATGAGGGGCAGATGTCGATCTGTTTAACCTGAAACTAGCATTAAATTAAACAAAGGTCAGCCCTAATTCAAACTTGGCACTTCACGCAGCTGCTTTTCAATATAACCCAGAAAATGCCATTAATTGGGATTTTACAAAAAGTCTCATTATGAAGGCAAGAGTGAGCTACAGTTATTTGGAGTAGATTGCTTTGGGATAGTTATGTTTGCATTTTGACCTTTCACAGCTTTTACAAAAGATAAGTAGTTAGAGAACTGAAAGAGCTTATTGCAGTTTGTGTAATTTTCAGACTGTCAAAGTGTCAAAGTAAGGAACACTGTTTTAATGGCATATGGTAATAGAATAGCAGTTTTTATGTAGTTCAGTTATATTTAATGCAGCAGTGGTTCAGGCTCAGATTGTGTTAACAGAATCTACTTCTGCTTCTAGCAGCCCTGGTTTTTTCATTATTTTGAATGACATCCAGTTCCTGAGTCATGTTTTGATATTTCATACAATAAGGATGACCTGCTAGTATAAAATGATGTTGTGGAGGTATCCTATCAGAACTCCTGGTTCCACTGTTTGTTCCTTCAGGTACAGCTGCCGCTGAATCAAAGCCAGCGGGGCGGGGTCGTTCCCAGAAATCCTCAACAACAACCCAAAGCAGAAACATTTTGCAAGGTAGCAGACTGTGAGATTTTGTGTACACGTGTAATGATGTCTAGATGCCAATATGCAAGACGGAGAGAATGCACCGAAATATATCTTGTTTTGCATCAGTGTGTGAATTTGTTTATTACCATCTTGTCCTTCTGCTTGTCTTTCAATGTCTTCCTTGCTTTCACCCTGGCCCCTCCTTCAATGTCCCTGTTTTCCCTCCTTTTTACTCCTCATTCTTCAGCATTTCAAGCTCCGTCCCAGAGATCTTCTCGGACTGGACCCAGCACATCCCACACAATAGATGAAGTAAGCTAAATGAGCACACACACACACACCGAGTAAACTTAAACACCTCCTTATTTTGAATCTGTGAACTGTAACATCCTTCAGCCTTGGTTCTCATCTTGATCTATCTTCAGGTGACCATTGAAGATTCGCGAGCAATGAAGGCTACCCGTCCTCCAAAGTAGGTTTGTTTCTGTTTACAGCATGGTGGACTAGTTTCCTATGGGAGAAAATAATTAATAGGTGTGAAACAGTATATGCATACACTCTTACAGGATTTGAATTACACTGTGTCTTTTGTGGGGTGGGGTCAAGCCTTTTACAAATTGTTTGCTGACAAGGTGTTTACCTTGTTATTTGTATGAATAAGCAAACATAATTTAATTTGGTGACTGAGATAATTAGCTCAGAGACAGAACAAGCCTCCAGTTATTGAGTATAAGGACGAGTGCAAGCAGCAACTGATGCCGCATCATAGCGCAGACCCATTATACACGGGTGTCCAACAATCATCAACCGACCCCCAAAAAGCTCCCTGTAATTCACACTCTGTATGTATGATATATTTTGTATCTCTTTCTCTTTGATCCACCAGTCTCATATTTAAAAATTCTGATCTTATTTTATCTTGCTTACTGCAGAGCAGCATCATCGTCTTCGTCCTTCACTAGGTACAGCTCTCAGAGCCAGAGCCAGTCATTTAGGGGAGTTTCATTTGATGACAGTGATGATGATGATGAGGTAAAGAGCCACCAGAGGAAATTATGCACAGGAGCATGTGTCTAGAGTGCTGGGATACAAACTGTGTGGATTTGTTTTGTTTTTTCCCCACTAATGAAAGTGACTTGACCTGTGAAGTGGCATTACTCTGTAACCATCTAGTTTTCTGAGGAGTCTGAATTCATGTTTCCTTAAGTTAATTGTAGGTTCCTGTATTTAATTGTATGTAATCTATTTTATACAGGGTGGGCCACGGAAAAGTAGCCTGCCTCCAATTCTCGTGCCACACTATTGAGTACACGGGCTACTTTTCCGTGGCCCACCCTGTATTAGCTTGCCAAAAATGAGCGTACCTACACTTGATTAATGTTTAATCTTGGGTACCTCCAGGTTAGCTTTGCACCCATCATAACTCCAAATAGTCTATAATTATTTCAGAATGATAAAACCAGAGTGCATCTTCCTAAAAATGAGAGGCTAGTTCGTGAACACGCACACGTCATGCTGCCAGTGTTGTGTAGAAATCTGTTTCCTCATCGAGTGTGTTTCCTCTAACTTGAATCTTAACATTATCCTAACCACACCTGCTGAGGGGGGCGCTACATGAAACTGAGTTTTGAACAGGGGAAACACATCAACGGGGGAACAAAAAACACTGACAAATTAGATATGTTTTTGACAATTACAGTATCACAAATCCTACCTGACATGTTCAAGCCAGAACATGAAATTTAACAGCATGATGAACCGCAACAGCATTAATTAATTAGAATGTCTCCTCCATAGATGGGTAAACAGTGGTATATGTACCGATGAAAAGAGATGTGTAACACTCTAAACAAAGCAGGTGATTGAGAAGCCCCATATTTTACTGGCATAATGCAGACATAGTAACTTCTCCAGTTTTACAACAATTCTCTTTAATGTTAGAGAAGCAAAGCATTAACAGACATGCGACGTATGTTGTTTTTTAAAAGTTACCGTTAAGTCTCACTGAGTATTGGAAGCATCAGTCCCTTTCAAGTAGCCTCAAGGTTGGTAAATCCAACCAGTGGTCGCTGTGTCTTCGCCGACACGACCACATACAGTCCCAAACCAGTGAAATTAATTCCAACAGGTAGCATAGCACCGACAATAACATCATGGGTTGTTAATCTGCTTGTTAAACAGCAACACATCACACACGGCAGACACACTGGCCCTGTGCATATCCACAAAGCCTTGTGTAGTCAAAAAATTACACTTTTAAAATGGCATTGATGAATGTCAGGCAAGCTCACATGAATGTGCAACAGCCTGGAGATTATACCCATTAGTCTCGTGAGCGAGAGTTTGCGAAATGTATATACAGTAAACCGAGTTGCTTCTGCATAGAAGTATTAGAACTAGAACTCATTTTTTGAGCTTTAGGTCACGTCTACGTCTAAGATGATAATTCACCGTTGTAACATTGTAGATTAATCAGAAAAGAAGGAAAATCATGTCATGGGCACTTTTAAGTTTTCAGTTTTCTATGGACAACGTTTTAATTCCTCTTCCATCTTCTCCTTTTTTCTTGACACAGGTTAACCCATTCAAAGGCCGCAGCCATCGTGCACAGAGATAACCATAAGTGCAACACTTGTTAATGTTGTTAGTTAACTGTTGCTCAGAGTAAAAGCGCTAAGTTAAATGCTATGGGGACATGGTGGAGATGCCTAACAGCCAGGACTTACTGTCTGCAGTTAAGCACCCGTTCTAATCACCTGCTGGACTAAATGGTGCAGCAAATCTGCTACTGATCTGAGCAAAGTTTTGTCACTGGCCTTTGTACTGTTCTGATATTCAGGAAATAAATGTTTTTTTTTTCATATATTGTCAACTGTCTTTTTTTTAGAATTAAGGTCTATGTGTCCCTCTCAGATTTGGCTGCAAAATCATAGAAATAGGCTTGTTGAGAACTAAAATGACATCTGTCCACCAGTGAGGAAACCCGAGGCATAGGATGACAATGGAAGAATCATGTTACTGCATAGAGGGGTCAAAAGCCTGAAGGCGGATTGAATTTTTCAAAATTGGGATATTGTAAAAATGTTGTATAGCAAGACAGATACTTGAGACTACTTTCTTGCACAAGTACATCTTTGTTTACAGTTTATATAATGACTTACACAAGTTCAGTTCCCTGGCATCTTTTTTTTTTTATATTTGGGTTAGAGGTTGTGTGTTTGAGAGGAGGACAACGCTGAACAGAACAAGGAGAGATCCTGTTTCCAGTACATACACTTGCAAAAAATATCCACATTAGCTGTTTGACATAACAGCTACTCCAAACTCCCAAGTTAAAAAATGTCTTTATTACATTTATAAAATAGAAATACAGATATATTACAATATATAGATGCATTCATATCAACAAAATGTAAGATATATATACAGTCAAATAGTACCAGTCACTGTGGCGCTCAACATGCTGAATGGCCGTGACACAAAGCCATTCATGTCCAGCTGTTCTGTAATGTCATACAGTTTGTGTAAGTCTGTCATTTTCTAGTAATTCTTTTGCTTTGTTGCAAACAGAATTATGAGATAATGGCGGGGTTTTGCCTGAATGCACAAGTGAACATACTGTACCACACTTCATTTCACTCAAATTCAAATTTGAGGAAGTATCATTTATAGTGTATGTTTAGCATTGAAGGCAATGTGAAGGGACTATGAACACAGTCTTTGAGTTAGTCTTCAGTGCATTATTAGAATAGTTACATGATTCATCTGCGCATACAGGAAAGTAACTCACTCTTCTTAAATTGCTCATCTAAATGAAACTGTACTAAACAAACCATCTGTGCTGTAAAAGGATGCATTTGCCCGTTAACAGAGCCAAATGTCAGACCAACTCAATCAACGCCTTAAATGCATTAAACTCTGAACACTAACAATAATGATGATATTAACCTGAGGCTTCGCACTGATCTCTGCTACCATTGTATGGCACTGGTTTACACTGTCACCTTTCTTTATTTAGAAGTTTACCATATAAACCCTTATAACACACATCAAAGTCATAGCACAAAGTAATCAAATAAATTATGTCTGAAGTCTGCAAGCCTAGTAGCTACAGACAGGTGACCAACTACAGGTCAGTTACATGAACTTTATGGCTTTTCCTTTAATGGTCACCTGTATGTACATAAAAATGCTTGTCCCCTGAGATAAGAACCTGAAATGACAAATAACACCTGAGAAAGTTAATATGAAATGTGTGTGCGTGTGTGCATGACGTGTAAATGTGGTGTTTATGCTTGCAGTGTTTAACAGTCCATCAGCATTTCTGCTGAGAAGCACTTCCCCTTTCTCTTCCTGTGACTCCTGGCTGCAGTCACCCCCAATGAAACCAAAGGCTTAATTTTAGTTTCAGTGTGACCAAGGCAGTGTGGGCTGGAGTCTCGCTTCTGTCTCAGTCCACTTGTCACGATGGTGGAGCTTAGGGGTTTTTCTGGAAAGATGAAGTAAAAACACTTAGGTTGGATTTACTTCAGATTTTTTTTAGTCTATATTTGAATGTTTTGCCAAATTAAACTGACTCTAAGCAACAATTGCACAATGTTGTTAACATTTAGGTTCATTTTCACATGAATTCTTTTTCAGTTTAGGGGTTTTTCTGTTTTCTTAAAATCATTTTCCTTCTTTGAATACAAACACAGCCCTTAAATGGAAATAATTCTGTTGAGATGTGATCTCCTAAACCTTAATGCTGTAATTTTCATTAAGTCTGTTTTAACATAAGGTCCGCTCACTGGTATTCTGGAGCTTCACAGTCTTCCTCAGCAAATGAAGTTAGTTCAGTCCAACAAACATACACACATAGTCACACAGCTGAACTGCACAAACTCCATTCTCTTAAGGCAGACTGTGTCATGTAGTTGAAAGTTACTGAAAAACTAGCAAGTGAAATTTTTTTAAATGCTGAAACTTTTTCTATGTGGTACCTCAATGACTGTGTAAATCCAGTTGAGCATTGATTCCACGTTGGAGTAGACTCCTGGCTTTTCTTTGCGGGCACAGCCAACACCCCAGCTCACCACTCCTACCAGATTCCATTTAGAAGATGTGAGGTACACCAAAGGACCCCCACTGTCCCCCTGGAATTATAACAGTACCATAACACCTTTATTACAATTTCATATCCAAACTATTTGCCAGAAGAAAAAGTCAGTAATGGATGATTCTACAAAATACAGCTAATACTGAACCACAGGTGTACAACAGTACAACTTGAAAGAGTTTCAAATTAGACTGTAGTACATTATAAATACAGTATGTTTATTAGTTTAAATGTATTATTTACATATCAAATATTCTTCCTTTTCATTCATAGTCTTGGGTTTTATTGATTGTACGGTTGAATCTGTTACCTGGCAGGCATCCACTCCCCCCTGTGGGAAGCCAGCACAGATCATCCTTGGTGTTATCATATTACCATACTCTGTGGAGCTAGAACATGTAGCCCGGTCTATCAGAGGGACCTCAGCCATCTGAAGTGAAGAGGAAACCTTGCCTGAAGGCAGAACAAAGAAGCAATATTTGAGTGACAGTGGCAACTTCAAAGATGCTGTGTTTTCCTGTTCATGATGTGGAGGTTGTTGATGATGAGAGGTAGTGTTTAGGCTTCTCACCATCTTCATGCAGGGATCCCCAACCAGTCACAGCCATGGAAGATCCAGCAGCAAGGTTAAAGGCATCAGGAGGTAAGCAAACCGGCCTCTGGTACTCTGGAAGACAGAGGCACTGCATTCATTACAGACATTTTGGACTTTATAGTTCTTATTATATATTTATGTTATAGCTTTGGCAGTTTTTTAAATGTAAAGTTAGCAATCAAGTGATTAGACTGGCTGACTTTGATCTATGGTGAAGAGCTTGTTGTATGACAAATACACCACTAGAGGGCAATATAGTAAAGTAAGTCCCCTCAGCTGGCAGTTTATTACCGTAGGTGCACCAGATTAAAGCTAATGCAGTCAACAGCAACAGGTCTTCATGCAAGTAACAGCATTCAGTTTTTGTTAAAACTGTTTTAGATAAGTATGTGATCATTTAGGAAGGTAGCTTGTGCTGCTGTTGAAATGTATTGCTTTATTGCTCTGAGCTCTTCTCCTCTCCTCTCTCCTCACTCTTGATGCATTTATATGCCACCATTACACATCACTAACTTTGTGTCCCCTCTCTCCCTTAGCGTGTTCTCTTTCTCTTGTACTTTCTGTAGGTAGCCCTGGCTCTGGAGCGCTACGTTTCTGATGAGCAGTCACCGGCCACATCAACCTGCCCAGTGCTTGATTGTTGTGTCTTGTTGCTTTTCTTCTTTTCTCTCTCCTCTATCCACCCACCCCAACCGGTCGAGGCAGAAGGCCGCCCACCAAGAGTTGGAGTCTGTCAGAGGGTTCTTCCATTAAAGGGCATTTTTCCTCCCTGCTGACACCAAGTGATGGCTCAAGGTGGATTTGCTGGGTTTTTCCCCATAATACTGTAAAGTCTGGGAATTACCACGTAAAGTGCCCTGAGATGACTGTTTGCCCTTATTGCAACAGACTCTAACAGGTCAGTTAACTAATATACTAATAAATGTACCAGTCAGTGAGGGGATGCGATTGCTCTAAGTGTGTTTTAGTGGCTATTAAATTAAACTCTGACCTCCCACTGTGATCGGGCTGCTGAGTCTCATCAATGCTATGTCATAGTCGTTTGATGCCGCATTGTAGTCTCCATTCACTATGATCTTGTCGACATAAGAACCTCCCGTCAAGGTCAGGTATGTCCGGCCTGACACCACTCTCCAGTGAGTCAGTGCCTTTCTACTGCTGCAAGATGCAAGAGAAGTGATCAAAGAGGAAGTGGAAATATGAGTATACTGTATGTATTAGATATTAATTCCAAAGGAAGTTCACTGGAAATGTATATACTGACCCAGAAAAGCAGTGGGCTGCAGTGACTACCCAACGTGGGGACACCAGTGAGCCTCCACATGTATGTTGGCCAGCCTCCTGCAGGCTCACCTGCCAGGGCCAGGTCTCAATGTAGGCATCTGCACCCCCAACAATACGGTCCTGGATGCCAACCACTCCACAGTCTGACAAATAAAAGTTATCTTATTAGTTGCAGAAATCCTTGTCTTTCCTCTGGTCTATTTTAAGCTACTTTGATTTCATGCCTTTTGTTGATTAATCCATTTAAATCCATTGCACCCATCTCATAATAGTGGCCGGATTAGTTTTTTCTTCTTGCACAAATTCCTTTTGTCACCATATTGTAAGTTTTGAATAAAGAGATTTGCTGCTTGCTGTAGACATGTATGGGCCTGTTAATATGAAACTGGTCCCACAACTATATCGTCTTCCACCCATCGCATACAGACTATGAATCCCTGTCTGCCTTATTAAAAGCTGTAAACAACCATTGATGGTGGCTGCTTTCTAAAAACAAAACTTACCTGAACAGGACAAAGACACCACAGATCCAGACTTGCATACGCTGCTGTTGGAACAAAAAAAAAAAAAAATCATCAGACATTTAGATTTACACATGTACCACAAATGGCCACACAACCAGATACAGCACACAGTCAAATGTTTACCTAACCTCACTTAACTTGAACCCATGTTGAACTTTGCCTCAATGAAGATAAAACAGAGAGAAACAAAAGAGAAACTGCGAGAAAAGACGCTGTGTCCTGCTTATAAGGAACATATGAGGGTGAAGGCAGTAGAAAGCAAAAGGGTAAAAGCTGAGAGAGAAAGAAACTAAAAGTTAAGATTTATCTGGCAAACAATGCTGTGAAAGATACTGAGGGAACTGATAGGACTAGAAAAGGGGATATAAAACCAAGTCAACATCCATCCTAAACAGCACAGATTCTTTTTTTAGATCACTTCAGATTTGTGTAGCAATGACACACTCATGAGGTTAAAAGCTTTTAATTTTTCAATTTGATGACAAATATGTTCTTTTCCTCACAGATCAACTGTAGCCTGATGTATGAGTGTGGCCGTAGTCCCAGGCTTGACAGCTGCGAACGGTCCAACTTTCAGGGAAGATGATAAAGTGGTCACTGGGATGCTGGTGCTACGAGGTTTACTGTTAAGACAGGAAGGTAATGATGTAAGCTTGTCAGTAAATTACAACACAATATATGTGATGGATCTAATGTCATATCTTCATCCATGGGGGCTGTAAACTCACTATGTGTATCCCAGTTGAGTACATGCTGTCTGTGTGTGCTGCTCAGTCCAGTCGTCGCTACACACACTCCGCCAGCCTAAGCTAGATCTGTACACCTGCAGGACATGCTGAGCTGTCGCGAGACGCACTGCAAGAAGGAAAGGAAGAAAAGAGGAGTTGTTTTTTTCCAGCTGTGTTTATGTCTGTGATGACAACGCCAGAAAACAACAGGTGTTTTAATTACCTGGAAAGGTAGTGTTAGCCTTAAAGTGTGACACGCAAGATGTTTCGTCCTCTCCTCTAGAACAGTCTTTTACCCCATCACAGGCCTTTTCTATTGGGATGAACGTCACTGAGCTTGTGCAGAAGAAGTATTTACTGTCAATCAGCTGTTTAACTGCAGGGAAGAGGAGTGGCACATTGGAGAAGGGCAGAACAAAGGTCAGACTAGATATTTGATACACTATACAGTAGTGAATTACACTGATTCCCAGCATGAATTCTACACCTTTGCAAAACATATTTCTCTAATATCCAAGCGAAAACTGATAGAAATATGAAGCTGGGGCCTGTTTGGCAGACCAGCACATTGCTGCATGTGAAACTACTTTCAGACACTATAACTCACCGAAGTATGCTCCGATGGCCAGTACGCCTAGTATCAATATAACTATCACGCTAATCACCAATGCTCTCTTCCTCTTAGATGCCTTGCTACTCGGAGTCTTTGAGGCCGCCATTGGTTTCCTGTGACGGCCTTTCTGTGGAGCCACTGGGGAGAGGGAGAAAGAAGGCAGAGCAGTGGAGAGAGAAATATAAGGGAGGCAATGATAGGAAAGACAGATGACAGCATAGACATGAAGATAAAGGGTTAGAGAACTGATCAAACGGAGAACAAAGAGGTGCAGGTTCTCCATGACATTTTTAAACCATTTAAACTGATATTTTATAGAAATCTTCCATCAGTGCAGCACCAAACCAACAGCAGCTGACAGCTTACCTGCTGGCGTGGGATTCAGTGGTCTGGTGCTTTCCAGAGTTGCTTCGGTGTTTGTCTGAGGAAAGAATATTAAAGATACAAAAGACAAAGTGAGCACCGGTGTTTTGAATTGAAAATTTAGTGTTATGTCTAAGAGGAGGTGTAGGATTTTGTGTGCACATTTCCATGCAGTTATCTGAGCTTACATAATTTTTATCCATAAAACTTTTTTTTTTTAGTTTGATTCCAAGATATATGCGAACATACTGTACATTGCATCTATCTGTCCAAACATAGAAAACTTGAGCCATGTGTAAAACAGGCGTGTATTAGTGATGACGCACACATGGAACATAATGTGTCACTTTGTGTTTGGCTGAATTTGTTTACAATGTAACTGATAGCTATAGGGGTTGTTCCATTACAGGAACCTACCTAAACCTTTTGAGTAATGCTCATCACAGGTTCTGCGTTTGTTTCCACTGCCCTTTGCTCACTTTGGAGGTGAGCTCTGGGAGCTATATTTTGGCACCCGTCAGGAGGTAGTAGTGAAATCAAGTTTTAGAGCGCTGCCCCTCCCTCTGCTAACAGAGGCTGACAAATCTACAATGGAAAAGCAAACTAGGACCGTCTGCTTCAATATATCGTAGCTTTGAGGAAATTATAAAGATAGTGAACAAATGTGGAAACAAAACATCCAGTGATAGTGATGGTATCACCATGACAACTGTCAAATGGGTAATTGAGGGGATATGTAAACCATTAACCCATATGTTTAACATGTCGCTTCGACTTGGGCAGTTCCCCAATAATATGAACATAGCAAAGGTTATTCCTCTGTATAAATCTGGTGATAAGCACAACCTCACAAATTATAGACCGATTTCTCTGTTGTCACAATTTTCAAAAATTCTGGAAAAACTCTTTAATAACAGATTAGACACATTTATTGACAAACATAAAATCTTATCTGATTGCCAATATGGTTTTAGGTCGAAAAGATCGACATCCTTGGCCATTACTGACCTGATGGAGGACATTACAAGTGCTATGGATGAGAAAAAATATACGATGGGGATATTTATTGACCTAAAAAAAGCATTTGATACAATTAATCATGAACTATTAGTGGATATGTTAGAGAAATATGGGATCAGAGGAATGGTTTGGAAATGGATCAGAAGTTATTTGACACAGAGGCGTCAATTTGTGAAGTTGGGTGAATACCAATCGAGTGAGCTGGACATTGTATGTGGAGTGCCTCAGGGTTCTGTTTTGGGACCTAAATTATTTATATTATACATCAACAATATATGTAAGGTTTCTGAAATTGTTAAAGTGGTTTTGTTTGCTGATGATACTACCATTTGGGCATCTGATGAAAACCTACGGCAACTCTCGGTAAGGGTTTCAGAGGAATTTGTGAAGATAAAGAAATGGTGTGATAGTAATTTACTATCTTTGAAATTGGAGAAAACCAAATATATGGTATTTGGGAATCGTAGACCACATAATGAACTTCAATTGAGAATTGGGGGTGCCAACATTGAACGAGTATATGAAATCAAATTTCTAGGTGTCATAGTTGATGACAAATTCTCCTGGAAATCTCACATCAGATATGTTCAGCACAAAATAGCTAAAAATATATCGATATTGGCAAGGGTTAGATATATGCTGGACGTTAAAGCATTGCGCATTTTGTATTCTTCATTGATTTTGCCATATTTGGAGTATGGCGTTGAAAACTGGGGAAACACTTACAGGAGTTCACTTCAACCATTGTACATATTACAGAAGAGAGCGATAAGAGTTGTGCACAAGATGGGGTATAGGGATCACACAAATGTAGTTTTCATACAGTCTAAATTGTTAAAATTCTTTGATTTAGTCGAGTATAAGACCGCGGTGTTTATGTGTAAAGCTAGGAACTTTTGGTGGAATCCAAAAGTTATTTGGTGAAAGGGAAGGGGGTTATAACTTAAGGGGTCACTTAAATCTAAAAGTTCATGCTATACGTACAACCAAAAAAAGATTTTGTATTTCCATAAGTGGGGTCAAATT